AGAGAGAGAGAGAGAGAGAGAGAGAGAGAGAGAGAGAGAGAATGAGAACAGTTGCCTACAGAGGCCAGACACATTGGGTGCCCTGGGTTTCAGGTGGCTTAGAACCACTTAACACAGATGCTGGTAATGGACCCAGTCTCCTTACTCGCTCTTAACTGTTGAACGATTTCTCCAGCCCCACTAAAGTCAGTTTACTTTAAATTTGAAAGGGTCAGGACTGTTCTCTAGTGCATCTTAAGACTAAGAGGCACATGTCAATTCCTTAATGTCTGAGTTAGGCTTTCAATGGCTGTCATAAAACACCATGACCAAAAGCAACTTGGGACGGAAACAGTTTATTTCAGCTTATAACTGAATAACTTATGCTGGTGTTTAGTTATTTGGGGAAAATAGATCTATATCAGAGAAAGTTTGGTTAAATGGCATAATATAAGTTGCTATATATTATTTAAAATGTAAGATACCTAACTTCTCTTCAAAGTTATTATTATCCCATATTCAAGATAAGCGCTTAAGAATTTTTAGCAGTAGAAGAACTGGTGTCCTTACGTGGGTGAGGAAGGAATTTTCAGGTGGATGAGAAAAGTTATTTATTTACCCCATAATATATGAACACTTCTGAAATAACTAGGTATGTCACACTGCATCACTAGGAGAAGTCAGGGCAGGAACTTAACACAGGAACCTAGAGGCAGGAACTGAAGCACAGGCCATGGAGGATGCTGCTTACTGGTTTGCTTTTCATGGCTTGCTCAGCCTGCTTTCTTATAGAACTCAGGACCACCAGCCCAGGGTTGGCACTACCCACAGTGGTCTGGGCTCTTCCACATCAATCATTAATCAGGAAAAGGATCTACAGACTTGCCTGTAGGCCAGTTTTATGAAGGCGAGATCTCAACTGAGAGGCCCTCTTCTCAAATGACTCTAGCTTGTGCCAAGCTGACACAAAACTAACCAACAGTTACTAACAAGAGTGGGACTGTTTTGTTTGCTGTGTTTTGTTTTGAGCTAGGATTTCATGTAGCAATCCTCCTGCCTTCTCCATCCCAAATGCTAGGATTACAAGCTTGCACATGCCAAATGATGCAGATTCTCTTATAAATGACAGAGACTGTCAATGAGGCTGACCAGATTCTGGTTCAATGGGAGCCAAAGAATGAAAACAATATACATGTCCAGATGAAAAAGGAGAACAGAGCTGGGTGGTGGTGGCGCACACCTTTAATCCCAGCACTTGGGAGGCAGAGCCAGGTGGATCTCTGTGAGTTCGAGGCCAGGCTGGTGTACAGAGTGAGGTCCAGGGAAGGCACAAAGCTACACAGAGAAACCCTGTCTCGAAAAACCAAAAAAAAAAAAAAAAAAAAAAAGAAAGAAAGAAAGAGAGAGAGAGAGAGAGAAAGAAAAAGGAGAACAAAGAAGCAATGGATGGGTCCCCGTGGGAGTAGAAAACAGAAGATATGTACTGAAGGAAGAACTCACCACCATACCCCAGAATTCCTATTTGTTTGGACGAGAAGACGCTCTCATTCTAAAAACTACTATCTGGTCCTACTACATCCTGACACTACTCTAGTGGGTTTTTTTTGTTTTGTTTTTTTTTTTTTTGCTTTGTTTTGTTTCTTCTGTTCTTTCATTTTCCCTTCCCCCATTTATGACAGAATTGAAAGTAACTGGAATATTCACATAAGCATGTGTATATACACACATGTGGATAACCCATACTAATAGATTTCATCTATATTCAATAGATATGAAAGGGGGAAAAAGAAGTACGAAAGCATCACTTTTTTGCCAGGCATGGTGGTATCCACCTTTAACCCAGTGATCGGGAGGCATGCACAGCACATCACAGGGTAGCCAGGGCTACGTAGTAAGCCCCCGTCTCAGAGAGAAGAGAAAAGGGAGGGAGAGAGAAGTGTAATGTTTTCATTTATTTGGTAGTCGTGACGCTTTTGTTTTTGTTTTTGAGTTAAAAATACGTTTAGATTGAAATTTGAATCCATCAGGCAAAACCCCTGAGGTACAGCATTTCCTGAGAAGCCAGGGTAACAGCCTTATGGCTTCAAGATAGTTCAGTTGACCCACTTGACCTCACCCCCATGGGGTCACCAACATCAGTGCATTGATCTCCTTCTGACAGCAATGGCTCCATGTGTTCCCACCGTACTCACCATAGTCACAGAGCACCACCAGCAACAGATTTGAAAAGTCCTTCAACATTGGTTTCATTCTGATCAGTAAAATCCCAGGCCTTTAGTCTCCTCATGTCCTTTCTCACATCACAATTGTGGCTTTTTTTTCCCCCAAAAGCACCTGAAATTAGAAACTCAAAGTTGATGACTCCAGTTAATGTGATTCACAGAACCGTAAAAAGCACCGAAGGCGTTTGTTCATAAAACCACAAAGTCAGGGGCTGGATGGGTGTCTGTGGTGAGGGGCAGGACTACTCTTCCAAGAGGCCCTGAGTTTGGTTTCCAGCACCCATGCTGGGCAGCTCACAACCCTGGCTAACTCCAGCTCCTCTTCTGGCCTCTCAGGACACCTGCATACATGTGGTATACACTCAAGTAGGTACACATGAAAACATCCATAAAAATAATTATAAATATGATAAATAAAATAAAATAATAAAAAATAAGAATAAATTTTAAATGGCAATGCCATTCTAAGAAGTCAAATTATCTAGGAGGCATTAAAAAAATATAGAGAAGTGTAACACAAGTCTTAAAAGGTCTTATTAATAAAAAAAAACCCAGAGCCAGATATTGGGGTGAAAGCTGAAAGATCAGAGAAGCAGAAAGAAGCCAGTCACATTCTTACAGCTAGAAAATCCTCAGCCCCTGTCTTCCAGAAGACCTGAGTTCAATTCCCAGCACCCACATGGCAGCTCACAACTGTCTGTAACTCCAGTTCCAGAGGATCTGATACCTTCACACCAATGCACATAAAATAAAGTGAAAGAAGAAAGAAAAGGAAGGAAGGAAGGAAGGAAGGAAGGAAGGAAGGAAGGAAGGAAGGAAGGAAGGAAGGAAGAGAGAAAGGAAGAGAGAAAGAAAAAATTCTTAGCCCAAGAGAGAGCTATTTCCTGTATACTCACGCCTATATACCTTTGTGTGCCCTGCCATCTTACTTCCTCTCTCTGCCCAGCTACATCACTTCCTCTTTCTGCCCAGCTACATCACTTCCTCTTTCTGCCCAGCTTTATCACTTCCTGTCTGTCTGTCCAGACCTCCAGACCTTTATGGTTAACTAGCACTGGGATTAAAGGCATGTGCCACCATGCCTGGCTCTGTTCCCAGTGTGGTCTTGAACTCACAGAGATCTGGATGGATCTCTGCCTCCCGAATGCTAGGATAAAAGGCATGTGCTACTATTGTCTGACTTCTATGTCACGGAGGACAGAAGGAGCACGTAATCCCAAAACAGTTAATCAGAAGAAAGGAGGGGGAACACCACAAGAACAAAATAACAGGAATTAATAAACACTGCTCAGTAGTAACTCTCAATATGAATGGTCTTAAGTCCCAAATAGAAAGACACAGAATTACATATTGGACCAGAAAACAGGCTCCATCTTCACTGCATTCAAGAAGCACACCTCGCTATCAGAAATAGATGTCAACTTAGGGTAAAAGGATGAAAACCAATGGGATCACGAAACAAGCAAGTGTAGATACTTTAATACCCGAAAGAAACAGACTTCAGGCCAAAACTAATCAGAAAAGACAGGGAAGGACATTGCCTACTTGTTAAAGGAAAATTCACCAAGGGGATTATTTCAGTTCTAAATATTATTGCACCAATGCACCACACACAGGGCACTCAGTTTCATAAATGAAATATTACTACAGGTAAAACCACATGTTGACCCTTTCACAATTGAACCTCTCCCCCAAATAAAATATCTTGGGATAGCTCTAACAAAGTAAGTGAAAGACTTATAATACAAACTTGGGGACATTGGATAAATAGGTTGAAGAAGATATAAGAAGATGGAAAGATCTCCCATGCTCATGGTAGAATTAATATAGTGAAAATGGCCACCCTATCAAAAACAACCTACCGATTCAATGCAATCCTCATCAAAATTACAACACATTTCTTCATAAAAATTGAAAAAAAAAAACCTTAAACCTTATGTGGAAATACAAAAAAAAAAACAAACAAACAAACAAACAATAAAAACAGGATAACTCAAAATGGATCAAGGACCTTAACATAAGATGGAATACTTGAATCTTAAGCAAATTTGGGGGATAGGCTTAAACTCGTGGGCACAGGAAAGGACTTTCTGAACAGGACACTGACTGCACAGGAATTACAACCAACATTTTTTTTTCTCTTATTAAGTTTTTTTCATATATTTTGATCATATTTTCACTCTCCCAACTCCTCCCTACCCACCCATCCTTATATTCTTTTTCCCTTTCAAAAACAAAAACAAAAAACAAGAAAACAAACCCACAAAAAGAAAAATGAAGACAAAGATACAAGAGACCAGTAAGATAAAAAAAAAATCTCCAAACAATGCAAAATAAAGCAAAAGTCCACAAAAATACCATGGAGGTTATTTTGTATTGGCCAACAAGGTTTAACCCATTTCTGGCACTGGAGGTTTTACTTGGTGGCATAAGATGTCTAGTTGGGGCATTGCCTCTCCTATTATTCGGTGACTCCCCTTAGATTTCTCTTATGTATGCATATATTTGGGGGCTTCTGTAGCCTCAGGTGTCCATTGGGCTTTTTTGTTTCTCTTACATATGCATATATTTGGGAAGTTTCTGTATGTAGCCTTTGGTCTTCATTTGGCTTTCCTGAAGGCTTTTACTCTTAGCTGTCCCTCCACATATTCCCTCCTTTACCCTGCTCTCCCACCAGACTCTCCATATGTGATTCTCCTATTCCAATTTCCCTTTATCTCTCCAGAAATGTCTCCTACTTCCCCTTCCGGGGAGACCTTCTCTTCCCCCCACCCCCATCTATTACTAGATACCTAATCTCTGTGCTTATTCAGACTGTAGTCCACATTTCAAAGGCTTGCAAGCTATCATCTCCATATAAAGGAAAACATATACTATTTCTCTTTTGAGATCTGGGTTACTCAGGATGATTCCACCCCCCCCAGGTCCCATCCATTTACCTGTGAATTTCATAATTACATACTTAATAGATCAATAATATTCCATTGTTTAAATGTACCATATTTTCATTATCCAATCATCAGTGGAAGGATCTAGATTATTTCCAATTTTTTTGGCTATTATGAATACAGCAGCAGTGAACATGGTTGAGCAAGTGTCTCTATGATAAGGTATATACAATCTGGGGATATATATATATATATATATATATATATATATATATATATATATATATCCTTTGGATACATGCTCTGGATCTTGAGGTAGATCAATTCCCAGCTTCCTGGGGAGCCTGATGGCTAAGGATGTTGAACAGTTTTAAAAGTATTTCTCAGCAATTGTGTTTCATCTTTAGAGAAGTCTGTGGTTGGTTCTGTACCTCACTTTTAATTGGTTCTTTTCTTGTTCAGTGGTTTCTTTTTTTTTTAAAGTTCTTTATATATTCTAGATACTGTCTAGAGTTGTGTAGTTGGTAAAGTTCTTTTCTCATTCTGTAGTCTGCTGCTTTGCCTGAATGATGGTGTCCTTTGCCATACTGAAGCCTTTCAGAGTCTGAGGTTCCATTTATTAATTGGTCTTCATGCCTATGCTATCAATGTCCTGTTCAGACAGTCCCTTCCTGTACCAGTAAGTTCAAGCCCATTCCCCAGCTTTTCTTCTGGTATCTGGGCCTTATGTTGAGGTCTTTGGCCCATTTGAAGTTGAATTTTGGAGGGTGATAGATATGGATCTATTTGCATTCTTCTACAAGCAACCATCCAGTTTGTCCAGCACCATTTGTTGACGATGCCATCTTTTTTCCAGTCAAAAGTCAGAAGACCAACAATTAATAAATGACTAAAAATTGTCTGAACACCAGAGGGCACCATCATTTGAGCCAAGCAACGGATTGCAGAATGTGGAAAAATCTTTACCAATTATACACCTTACATCAAGCAAACAACCCATTAAAAACGGGTATAGGACTAAACAGAAAGTTCTCTAAAGATGAAACCCAAATGGCTCAGAAATGCTTTTAAAAATGTTCAACATCCTTCGCCATCAAAGAATGCAAATTAAAACTACTTTGAGATTTAATCTTACCCCAGTCAGAATGGCCAAGATTAATACACAAATGACAGCACATGCTGGTATGAATGCAGGGAAAGGGGAACACTCCATCATTGCTGGTGAGAGTGCAAACTGCTACAGTCACTATGGAAACCAGTGTGGAGATTCCTCAACAAGCTGAAAATCGACCAACACAAGGTCCAGCTATACTCCTCTAGAGGATATACACTTGTGCTGGCTTGTTTTATGTCAACTTGATATAAGCTAGAGTCATCTGAAAAAAGGGAACCTCAATAGGAAAAATGTCTCTGTAAGATCCAACTATAGAGTATTAGTGATTGAAATGGGGAGGGCCCAGTCCATTGTGCGGTTTCATCCCTGGGCTGGTAGTACTGGGTTCTATAAGAAAGCAGGTTGAAGAAGCCATGATGAGCAAGCCAGTAATCAGCACTCCTCCATGGCCTCTGCATCAACTCCTGCCTCCAGGTTGCTGCCTTGCTTGAGTTTGTGTCCTGACTTCTTTCCCTGATGGACTATGGATGTGGAAGTATAACCCACTTCTTTCTTTCTTCCCCAACTTCCTTTTGATCACAGTATTTCATTATAGCCGTAGTAACCCAAACTAAGAATGGACTCTACATCTTACTACAGAGATACTTGCTCATTCATGTTCACTGCTGTTCCATTCATAATAGTCAGCAATTGGAAATAGTCTAGATATCCACCAACTGATGAATAGATAATGAAAATGTGGTACATTTACACAATGATATTCAGCTTCTAAGAAAAATTAAATTTGCAGGTAGATGGGTGGAGCTAGAAATGATCCTCCTGAGAGAGAAAACATAGACCTGAAAAGACAAATAGTACATGTTTTCTCTTATATGTAGACATTAGCTTTTAAGCTTTAGATATGTGTGTTTCAATTAGAATAATCTCAAGCTTATGTAGCTAGTGAGGGACTAAGGGGGAGGAATGGGAAATAGGATATAGTATTATAAAGAGATAAATGAGAAACCAGGAGGTTTACATGTAGAGGGGAATGAGAGGACAGGGTAAAGAAAGGACTATGGGAAGGACGCCTCACACTAAAGGCCTTTTGGAAAGTCATATGTAACCTACTACTGTAGATGTTTCCATAAATACATATATGAAAGTAATTTAAATGGAGTCACCATCTACTGGGGGAGAAATGCCCACCTACATATCTTATGCCATCAAGTAAAAGCCCCAATGCCAAGAATGGGTTACATCTTATTGAGTTGTTGGACAAAGGAGTCCCAGGGAGTCTCTCAAACATCACAGGCTGTTATCAAGGCTATTGGTTGATTTCCACAACCTGTTGAAGACACAACTTACATGTGTTATTAAACATTGAGAATTCAAGCTGGTGCCTAACTAAAGGCATCACCTCTACAGCACATCACTAGAGGAGAATCATCAGTCATCAGTATCTCCCAGCTACAAATCCTTTAACCTACAACAGTGATCTGCCTGCAAGATAATGTGGTGCAATACTGGCATAAATATGGGAGTAACCAACCTCTTTTTGACTAGATTTAAGGCTCCTGTACTGCATGGAACCTATATTTGACACTGCTAAAGGGGCCAAGAACCTGAGACTAGATAGGTCTTGAGAACCTGAGACTAGATAGGTCTTGAGAACCTGAGACTAGATAGGTCTTGAGAACCTGAGACTAGATAGGTCTTAAGACCTACGGGAAAACCTATTGTCCTGCTGAAGGAGCACAGTGATACAATGACTCCTAATGAAATATTGCTATGCCCACAGATCAGTGTCTTGCTCACCCCTCATCAGAGAATTAACAGAGACTCACAACTGAACAATGTACAGAGAGTGAGAGACTTTGGAGGACTCGGTCCTAAATGGGATGTCTCCATCAAATCCCTCCCCTCAAGGCTCAGGGATCTACGTGGAAGAGGAGGTGGAAAGATTGTAGGAGCCGAAGGTGACGAATGACTCCAAGGAAACAGTGTCTTCCAAACACAACAGGGCTGACACACATGTGAACTCACAGAGACTGTGAAATCATGCGTAAGTCCTGCCCAAGTTCAAACCAGACAAAAGTGGACTCAAAGTCTTACCCCTAACCAAGAAGCTATTAACAATACCTGCTGAGAGAAGGAAATCAGTTTTCTCCAGTGGTGTCACTGGTATATCAACCACACTCCAGGGCTGGCCCCAGGCTCAGGACTAGCTCACCAGCACAAAACGAACTTCATGTTTTTTGTGTGCTTTTTGTTTTATTTATTTATTTTCCTTGTTATTCTTTTTTTTTTTTTTGCTTGTTTATTTTGATTTTTGGGGTTTTTTTGGAGTTTTTTTTGTTTGAAAGATAAAAAAGAGAGCATGAAGTTGTTTGTGGAGGAAAGTCAGGAGGCTCTGAGAGAAGTCGGGGGAGGAGAAAAATATGATTAAAATATATTGTGTGATAAAATTATGTTTTATGCATCGAGTGAGAGACCTTGGAACACCTGGCCCTAAATGGGATGTTTCCATCAAGTCCCTCCCCTCAGGGCTCAGAGAACTGAGGAAGAGGAGGCAGAGAGGCTGTAAAAGCCAGAGGGATGGGGGACATCGAGGAATCAAGGCCTTGGAGACACACCAGGGCTGGTGCCCATATGAGCTCACAGACTGTGGCAGCGTGCACAATCCTGCACAGGTCTGCATCAAACGGGGGTCCGGGAGCTGAGAGGAGGGGTGGATACGCACCCCCATCCCTAACCCAGAAACTACATCCCATTGATAGCCATTTGCAAATGAAAAATTAATTTTGGGGGCTGGGGATTTAGCTCAGTGGTAGAGCGCTTGCCTAGCAAGCGCAGGCCCTGGGTTCGGTCCTCAGCTCCGGAAAAAAAAAAAATAGAAAATTAATTTTCTCTGAGGGAGTCTCACTGGGGATACAAACCTTTTCAGGAAAGGCCCCATGCCCAAGCAGTAGATAGCCAACACAAAACAAACCCAAAGGCATCTTCGGAGGGTCTTTGTTTCATAATGTTGTGAGGGCATTTTTTTTTTTTTTTAACCTTACAGGTCCTTTGCATACATATCACGGCTTCTGGTTTGGGTTTTGATGGGATTCCTGTGTGTGCAAACTTGTGTGTGTGAGAGAGAGTCTATATGTGTTTCTTGTGCTTTTTCTTTTCTTTTTTCTTGTTTGGTTATTTTGTCCGATCCAGATTTGTTTTTTATTTTACTGTTATCCCCTTGTCGCCTGTTTGTTTTCCGAGGAGAGACAGAAAGGGTGTGGATCTGGGTGGGAGGGAAGGTGGAGAGGAACTGGGTGGAGAAACTGTAATCAGAATATATTGTGCGGAAAAAAAATCTATCTTCACTCAAAGAAAACATGTTTTTCATTTTTAAAAAATTGAGGGAAAAAAACAAACAATAGATACTCAGCATGTTACAATTTAATGTGAACTCTATGTGGCCCTGCTTTTCTTGTTTGGAGGGGGAGAAAACAGACAAATAAAAATGACCATCTCCTGTCAGTCTTCCAGTACTTGTTGCTGATATGCATCAGGAGATGGGTGATTCGTGGGGCAATCGTCCCAGACCACCTAGGTGGGCAAGGGAAGACCTTGCTGGACCGTGGTTCACAGTGAATTGTAGGAAGGGATCTGAACTTTGATCGAAATACTAGACTCTGGACCACTTAAGGGTAGTCTTTTCATACAAGAATCTAGCAAACTGTTTTATCAACCATAACCACATATATGTTTTCTTAATGCTTAGAGTCCCATGTTAGTCACAGGCCATTTCTTGTGGCGCTGCAGATTGAACCCAAGGCCTCATCCATGCTAGGAAAGCGCTCTGCCATTGAGGCACATCTCTACCCCTTGTATAACGTTCCATTCCAGACGCATGCTACGTACCTTCTGATAAGGACAGAAACGAACAGAATTTAGCAGGCTGACTGAAATAAGCCGCCATTCAGGGGAAAGGAAACTGGTGTGTCTCTATTAGCTTTTGTTCAGTAAGAGCTGGCTGAACAAAGGAAACCCCGCATTTCCTGAGAGTGAAGCAGGCTTCCAAGTTGAAGTACGCAGATGACTGGGTTCCCTTCCCTCCTCAACACACCGAAATGATTTGATCTAACCATTTCCTTGAATGTGGATGGGGAACATGGCTGAAGACTATCGAACTATGGCCCCTGGCACCTGTAGTTTCCCCAAAATCTGAGGCAGGAGGATGGCTTGAGCCGACCAGTCTGAGACCAGCCTGGGCAACATAATAAGACCCCACCTAGCAGCAACGTCTGGAAAGATGAGGTCAGCGTTCTGGGATGGCTTGCTTCTCCGAGATAATATTCCTTTTAAAACTCTTTACTCGGTACTGATTCTGTGATTATATTTTCTGGCTTATGAAGATGAGCGGTTAAACACAGACTTGTGTAATGGTCTGTATTTAGAGACGAACAGAGATGGAATTATAGAAGGACCCAGTCTACCTGTACATCATAACATGCATTATGATTATAATCGTAATATGCCTCTAATTTGTGTGTGTGGTGGTGGGGGGCAGCTACCTGATTTTTTTTTTCACCATGTTCCCAAATCCCTGAATAGTTGTGAGTAGAATACGTGGTGTGAGAATCATTTTAAGAAAATAAGAAGTCGGGCATGTTTTCAAGGCGTTTAAAATACTTGTATAGGGCCTGGGTTTTAGCTCAGTGGTAGAGTGCTTGCCCAGCGTGCGTGAAGCCCTGGGTTTGAACCTTTGGAGCTAAGAAGCAACTCACAAAAGTTTACAGTAGACTGTAAAAGCACCAGTTGAGGAGGTGGAGAGAAGTGGGTGTGGGTGTTCTCAGCGACCAAGAACATCACCTCCCCTTAAAGCCACGTTTTTCCAGAAACCAGCTAAGTAAACGCTTCGTAGCCGCCAACAAAGGACAATTAATTACTCTAACGTCCACAGGACATTATCAAAGAATAAAAGGAAAAGCAACATGATTTTACAAGCAAAGCTTCTGCGTATATGTAGGAATAACGTTTGGTAGGAGGAAATCCCGACCCCAAGGCTGCACTTGTGAACCAGCTTTCTCTATCCGGATGGCAGGGTGGTGCTTCCTCGCGAAGCGGTGCTCTCCCACCACCGACTCACTTTCCAAAGGTGCCGGTCAAGTTCACGCGTGGAAGCCCGGCCCAGTCAGTCAGCATAAGGCTTGTTACTGCCGGCCATTGCTGATTGTTAGTATCCCAGGAAGATTTCTTTGGGGGAAGTTACAAACTTAGGTCGCAACGCTGAGTTTCCAAAAGTCCCAACCTGAACTCCACTTCTGAGCCTATGTGAGTCCGGTCAGTCGGCCACGCCCGCTCCAGGTGCCCGCCTGGCTCCTGGGCCACCTGCGCTCCGGGGTCCTTACCTCTGGTCGGGTCTGGCTGGCACGGTGGAGACGAGTGGGGAGCCTCAGCGGCCACGGGGAGGCTGGGCGAGCATCCCGCGTCCCGCAGCCGCACGCCGGCGTCCGGCACTCTGGCACCCTCCTGGGCAGCCTGGGACCACGCCCCGAGGCGGGCTCTCAGAGGGCGGGGGTCAAGCGCAAGAAGTCCGCCCTACCCACCCCCCGCTCCCCCACTTCTGGGCAGAGCATCTTCCTTTCCTGCCTGTCCCTAGCTTGCCCTCCAGCCACCGGGCAGGAAACTTGCAGGAAACCCTGGGGCCAGAGGCCCTGTGAGGAGGTGTGGTCGCCGCCCGCGCAGGGTCACCCAGCACATACTTTACGCCCATAGCCCGCCTCCCACTGCCGAGACCCGGGGCTTTAAGGGCAAGCCAGCAGCCTTCCTACACTTCACAACCATTCACTTCTTCCCCAGGGTCGTTTTCTTGTGGGGGTGTGGGGGAGGTCCACAAGAAAAACCACTAAAGTGGCATGGGTGACCTGTAAATTTGCTTCCCCAAACATCACCAGCGTTTCAAAAGAACACACGTCAGGTAAAGTGCATTTCCCCTTTTCTTCCTCTGGAGACAAACTTGGTTAATTAAATTAAAAACAAACATTTTTTTTTTAAAGTCTATTCTGCAAATGTTATCTTTCTAAAAGAATCGGAGGTTAAGTTTCCCATGGTTTAACAGCTCTGCTCGTCACCCAGTGACGTGCAGTGAGCTCTCTTTTACATAAAACGAACCATGTCACAGACAAAATCATTGTCTGGTAATACAAAGAAGAGCCAGCCTCTAGAGGGCCATTACCCCGCAAGAGGTATTAGGAAATTCTGGAGGAGGGAAGCATGTTAGGACGGAATTGCATGCATTCACGGTGCATGTGTCAAACCCACGTGACTTAATAAGAGTTGGATGTGGTGCACATGACTGCAATCCCAGCAACTGGGGAAACTGAGGCAGGAGGATTTAAAGTATCAGGTCATCCTGGGCTACATAAATGAGACCTTGCCTCTGAAAGTGGGTGGTGGGGATGGCAAGATCAGTGGTAAAGATCTTGCATAATGTGAGTAGGAGGTGGGGGGGGCGACGATTTATTTATAAATGTCACCTAAATTTCTTCAAATATGCCATTTGCTGAAAGTGATCTTAAAAGACAGCACACTTAGATGTCATCAGAATTCAAGGTTTTTTTTAAAATTTATTTTATTATTTATGCAGTATTCTGTATGTGTCCCCTGCATGACAGAAGAGGGCAGCAGATCTCATTACAGATGGTTGTGAGCCACCATGTGGTTGCTGGGAATTAAACTCAGGACCTCTGGAAGAGCAGTCAGTGCTCTTAACCTCTGAGCCATCTCTCCAGCCCCAAGTTCAAGTTTGTCTAAGAACTAATTAGCCAAGTGTCCAAGGAAGCTGTAGGGCTGTCATCCGTTTTCATTGCCATCAAAATTCTCTACTCCAATATTCATTCATCAACTGAAGTTAGGATTCCTTTCAAATGCATGTCATATAGTCTCTGGTACCACTGGTTGTGAGAACAAAACAATGAAACTCAATGGAGGGTATGTGGATAGCCCAGCAGGTAGTCTTGCTGCCAAGCCTGATGATCCGAGGTAGCCCTGGGTTGTTAATCCCACCTCTTCTCTGCTATAAAAGGTATATGATAGTAAAGTTTTGTGGGGCTTGAGAGCAGCATAAACCGCACCTTGTTATGTATTAATCTTTACAAATATACTCTTTAAAAAAATTTACTTTGGGTGTGACAAATCTTACATGCATTTTTAAAATAACAGCTTTTGCCACTTTTATATTAATTATATTAATTATAGTTCATGACAAACTGGCTGTCCTGGCTCATTTTATATCAACTTGACAGAAGCTAGAGTCATCTGAAAGGGAACGTCAATTTTAAAAAATGCCTCCATAAAGTCAGCTGTAGGGAAGACTATAGTGCATTTTCTTAATTAGTGATGAGGGAAGGCCCAGTCCATGGTGGGTGGTGCCATCCCTGGGTTGCTGGTCCTGGGTTCTACAAGGAAGCAGGCTGAGCAAGCCAATACACAGCCCCCCTCCGTGGCCTCTGCACCAGCTCCTGCCCTGTTTAAGTTCCTGCCCTGACTTACCTCAGTGATGGAATGTGCTGAAATAAACCTCCACCCCCACCCACCCCATGTCACTTTCGGTCATGGTATTTTATCACAGCAACAGAAACCCCAACTAAGACACTGTATTACTGTCTTTATTAGACAAATATGATACAGTCTTTTCTGAAATAAAGGCAACATTAAAGGAAGGAAAGTCTTTTTGAAGGACAGTGGTATGACTTCAGTATCAACTCAAACTGGCTTTTAACATGCACTGAATTCTGGCTGGGAATGCTGCTCATGAAAGAGCATTTAACCTAGCACATGCAAGGCCCAGGGTTCTAACTCCAGTACACTGAACTCTCTTTCTGAGTCAGCAACTCTTCCAGTGACCTCTACAACTGTAAAATTTATACACTTAATAACCATCTGTATACAAGCTGGGCAGTGGTGATGCACACCTTTAATCCCAGCACTCAGGAAGTAGAGGCAGTCGGACCTCTGTGAGTTCGAGGCCAGTTTGGTCTACAGAGCGAGTTCCAGGACAGCTAGGGTTGTTACACAGAGAAACCCTGTCTTGAAAAACCAACCAACCAACCAACCAACCAACCAACCAACCAACCAACCAACCAACCAACCAACCGAAAATCATCTGTATATATACAAATGTTTTTTATTCTAATAAGCAATGGTCTAGAAATCATAACTCAATGATTTCACATCAGGGCACAAGGAAGAACAGAAATGACCCAATTTTCACACTATAATCACAGCTTGTGAAAGCAAGATCTTACATGTGTGCAACCTGACTTTTCAGGAGTGCCTCCTACATTCTAAGACATATGGCTCATGTCTTAGAATTCGAGTAACAGGGCAGATCTCAGACAGGTTGAGCTGGTTGAGAAGCCTCCTGGAAGGAGGGAACTGTTAAGCCGCAAGGCATTTAGTGAAGTTAACACTCAATTAGAAACGTACTATGTACGTTCAATGAAGTAGGACAGTGATGATTCAAAGGAATTGCTACATAACTGTTACCCATATGGGTCAGGCTCAAGAGGATTGGCAGTTTTCCTTGGGAGCCTGAGTATGAGTATTTATGAATGACTGATGAGTGTGTGCAAAGACTAGCAACTGCTGCTTCCTCCTCCTGATGTTTAAGGCCCGGGATTTCACCTGCAGAGATGAGACTAGAGACTGGCTAACTCCTCCCGTTCTAGGAAACATGCTGAGGTTTGTGGTATGGCCCATACAGAGGATTGCTGTTCGGCCACAAAAAAGAATATGCTATTGGCTTGTGTTCTCCACGGACTGACCTCAGGATGGTGATGTTGAGTAACAGGAACAAGGCAAAATAACAAGTCAAACTCATGATCCCATTTATAGAAAATTCTATAAATGTAGACGCTTGAATAGTGACAGACAGAAGATCAATAGTTGGTGAGAAGCAGGGTGAGGAGGGGAAGGCTGGTCATGAGGCAGAGAATAGGGTGGTAGGAGAAAAATCTTTGGGGCAAGCACAATATGGTTTCACAGATGTATGTATGACTAGTTCAAAAGAACAAATTTCATACTTTAAACTGCAGCTTGTTGAATATCAATTATGTCTCACAAACTGTCAGAAAAAACCGGGGGAAAGGTATATACCAAACAGACAATTCTTTGAGGAGTTATGCCAACAGGCATATCACGTGGAACCTGCAGTCTGGGGGCCACAAGTGAGCTAGGACAGCCATGAATTGTTCCTGTTACTCAACATTGTTGTCCTGAGGTCAGTTCATGGAGATCTTGGGTCGGTGGCGTGTTCTTTTTTGTTGCTGAGTAACGGTCCATTGCATGTGCCATACCACAGTTTGACCATTTACCTGTAAATTACAGATTAAAACCATAAACTTAATGAAAAAAAAAAAAAAACCATGCTGAGGTTCTGGGCTGTGGTGGGAGTGGTTAGAGCACTCCACCTAGTCCAGGGTCACTGTGCATGTCATCTGTGTATGTGTGTCCTTCCTTCCTTCATCCTCCACCCTAGCCAGGGTCCTGGAACACAAGCCACATAGGATGTGGCAACTGACCATATTTAAACTTAAAGAAGCTCAGTATTTTCTTGTGGCCTCAAAGCAAAAGTTAAAATAACAAGACAAAATATAATTAATTATATGAGGCAGACAGTAACTTTTACAGACTTTAAAATAGAGCTATAGATACAGGAAAAAGGTTTTTCTAGGGCAGGTGGGATGGTGCAAGATATGGTCTGATTTAGGCTATTATGGGTGAGTGGAAGTCTGTTTTTCGAATTTAAGATGGTCTTATAATAAAAAACCCAGAGCCAGATATCAGGGTGAAAGCTGAAAGATCAGAGAAGCAGAACAGCCAGCCACTAGTTCTTACCTCTATGATATCCTCAGCCTAAAGAGAGTTCCTATTTCCTCATTATCTGCCCTGCCATATCAATTCCTGGAATTAAAGGTGGGTGTGCTTCCCAAGCAAAGGCATGAGATCTCAAGTGCTGGGATTAAAGGTGTGTGCCGCCACTGCCTGACCTCTATGTCTAATCTAGTGGCTGGCTCTGTCCTCTGACCCTCAGGCAAGTTTATTAGGGTACACAATATATCACCACAGAAGTCAGTATGGAAAGAAAGTCTAGACAGACCAAGGCACATGCCAGAAACAGGGACTTCTTCATGCATGGTCCCACCTCCTCCACGTACTGACATTTTCTGTCACTTGGGACTGGGCTGTCTTTATCGGGCTCTGCTACAAAGCCCCCAGAGCCCAGCATCAAAACAGTGGGCTCCAGAGATTAACTAAGAGCACTGGCAACAGTCCATAGTATTTGGGGGTCAATGACACCTCACTTGCCAACAGCTCCAAACAAGGAAACCCATTCTTGGCACTGGGATTTTCATCTGTTGCCCTGTGGTGTTTGCCACACACTTAAATCATAGAACATGGGGAAATAAAGCAGCAACTTGGAAGCTTCCTCCCTACTTCCAAAACACTGGATGGTTCTATGC